AAAATAATAAAAAAACCAACCAAACAAAAAACAAACAAACAAACAAACCAACCCCCCCCCCCCCGTCATCTTATGACTTATGATTTGCAATTGACCTTCAACAGAACTTCTTGTTTTAGAGGACTATAATCCTATACTTCTTACTAGGAATCACTGAGCTATTAATTGTAGATTTATTTCTTTAATGTTAAACTACAGCGCATTGTGGAATATGAACTTTCTTAAATGCAGTGGATAATGCTCAAATTGATATACTGTGTGGCACTGTTGCTGCAGTACTAAGTCATTTGCTCACCAATGATTTTATTTCTGAATTTCCTGAGCTATCAAGGGAAAAGGGAAGGAAGAAGCTCTCTCCTCTAAAATACTAACGTTTCACACTAAAATACAGTAATGTTTTAAACTAAAATGCAGTGTATAAAAACAAAATCCTGTGACTGCATTTCTGTGGCTCAGTTACTGTCTCCTGGGAGTAGAACTGAAAGTGGCCAGAACTCAACACATTTAGATGGGATTACATAAGATACAGAGATACCAATGATATTTTAATAATGAAATATTGAATGACTACCTTAGCCTTAATCAGTGTTATCTTTATAAATGAAATGCTGATTCATAAGGGATCTAACCCCTGAATTCACTCCAAAAGGCCAGATGCTGTTGCATTATTTCGCTGCAACACCAGTTGATGATAAACTTGTCAGAAGCTCAAAACTATTTGATGACTAAATTTGTCATATAAGTTGTTTCTTTATGGGATCATTATTGCTTTTTGGAACCAACTGATTTCACACCATATCAGATATTTCCCATTTTCTTGCCATGATTTGAAACAGAAAGAAAAATATAGGGGTATCATGCTATATTTAGCAAAATAAAAGTGAAAACAAATATTTACCATGTACAGCTGAATGATCTAGCACAGATTTGGTATTAATAATCATGGAATCACAGGTTCAGGAAAAATATTCATAAAATATACATAAATAGGCTCAAAAAATGCAGAATGCTATTCCTTCATGAAAAGTGTTGCATAAAAACATAGCATCACTTCATCAAAGTTTAAATCTTACTGTTGTTTTCCTGGCTTTCTCGTCATACTGTTTTACATTTGAAAATATAAACTAGTGGCTTTTGGTAAATTCCTAAAAAATATCACGAGTTAGCTTGCAGCACATAATTCTTTGAGGATATGAGAAACTTTAGATCCTAAATAGAGGTGTTCCTAACTTCATTGGCAACTCTACTCTGGATATGCAGCATTTATCAAATATACTGAATATATGCTTTGAACATTAATATTCTGAATATGCCTTATTTCAAATTTAATCAAAACGATGTGGTGAAGCTAGGCTTTATTTGTTCAGAAAGCTTACATGGCTGTTGAAAAAAGCAAATATTTCAAAAGTAGGAAAAGTTCTCTTTTTTTTTTTTCCTATATCTCACATCTGGTGCTGACAGTTAAAATTTCTTATGATCACAGCAATTCCTTAGAGAGTCACTGTCAAACTGAAAGAGAATTTACTAGCCTCTATGGTAGTTCATCATTATAAATCTATTTAGAAAAAGGTGTAATTCACTCTGTTGCTGCATATGCTTGTAATCTTCACATGATTTGGCAAGGAGTACGGATGAAATCAATTCTGATTGAATTCTGGAAGAACAGAATTAAGCATGACATTCCTATGCAAAGTAGCAGTATTTCACAGAGGATAACAGAAACTCTGATACCGTTGTGGTCTTTCAGCAGTATTGTGAACTATCCCTCCCGGTCAATTAAATTCTGAACACAATAGTCAATTTAAAATATAATGGGCTGTGAATCAATTTTTTTTCTGTAGTCACTGAAAATGAGATGTTTAGAATAATAATAATTCAGAAAATAGATCCTGTACTATACTACAGGATTTAAAATTACCAGGTTCAAACCTCATCTCTTCTATAATATTCAAAAATTACTTACTTCCTTGATTAAGCATGCATACCCCTAAAATGAGCCTCATAATTACATACTTCACCTACTCACTGTCCTGTTATTGCCTTAATAAATACAAAGAACTTAGCTGAGAAAGAATTCAAGGGAGAGTTATAAATCCTGTTTTGTGTCTTCTCCAAATAAACTATTTCTAAAAGTAGAATCTTAAAAAAAATATCATCCTGCTACTTGATGAAATGCTTTATACAGCATCATCAGTTACAGCCATAGTATACACATGCTCTAAAAGTCTGAGGCATCTGCCTTGCTTTTGCTGTTCATATAAGAGTTAGAATATCCAGGAAAAGAGTCAAGAGAACACTTACTTGTATGTTTCTTAGGTGCTAGATGTGTCTGGTACAGTATATGGAAATTGAATAGTCAGAGCAATTGACCATGTCAGCAGTTTTCTATCCAGATTTCATCAGATGACAATATGAGGTAGATGAAAGGCAATTAATGACATTAACATAAGCCATCATTTCTTAAGCACATGTATTCTGTTCTATTCCTGAATGTACTGCAAAGGATTGCAATTTACACAAAAGATATATTGACAAACACTGCCTGTAAAGAGAACAATTAGTTTTTCCAAACCAAATAAGACATTCTTAGGAAACCATGCACCTACTTTTAAAGGGTTTTTTTCTCTCTCTTCTTTTTCTTCTTTTTCCCCAGAAAAATATGATCCTAAATATAACTTCAGTGATACTGATTTCTGTATCTTTATAGCATCTCTGATGCAAAACTTCTTGTGGCTTTTGCTGTGGTAAATGGTTGTACCTTCTTATTGCCAATAACTGAATTGTGGTACAGTCTATACTACAATTCAGATTTCCTAACAACTAGCTCACATGTATGCTTCTGGTTTCTGATATGTTTTTAAGTTATGAACTTAAAATATTAAGCAAAATTAACAATAACTAATCAATTTGTGCTGTGTCAAAATATAAAATAATCAAGATCAGGAAATTAAAGAGAGTAATGCTGAGAGTTAATGAAAGAGTAGTAGTATTTACATTTTTCTCTCACTATATCGATCATTATCATGATCATATTCTCTTTTTGAAGTTGATACGATTTTGAGAAGAATTATAATTTATATCTGTGCAAATTAAATGGATTTAATCTTCTTGTTCAATGTGGCATGGATAATCGAACCCAAATTCGTGTGTTTTTACAGTGAAAATTTAACTAAAGAAACAGTTGTTGAAAACTTTAAGGAAAACATGCAGAGTTGCAACAATGTCTTATCTTGTGTTTGTAGATGTGTTTGTGATCTTGGCAGCATCTGACTTCCACCTGTTTTTCACATCAGTCTGTGAGAATAAATCGTGCATTTTACTAAAGAACAGTGAGGCTACATATAGAGGGGAGAAAATGAACATCCCTTAACAGCAGTTCCACTGTTTGGGAAAAAAACAGTTCAGGATAGCATGCTGTTCACATCCTACCACGCTCCGCACAAGTTGTCCAAAATGAATGGTGTGCTTCTCTAAGTAAGCTGGAGAGAAGAGGCATAGGACACTACACATAGTTGGAAGCAACATCCTTAAAATAAAGCACTCTGAGAAATGATCAGGGAAACCATCCATAAAATAAGAAAAAAGCACAGAAGGGAAGATTCTCCCACCATAAAGCTCAGCATTCATAGAGACTGCAGTAATCTGGCCCTTTGGACATACAGGAGAAATCATGAGCTAATGCATTTCTCTGCAGGAAGGGAGAATCACCATATGACAGATCAAAATACACATGAACATACATGGGCAATGGTGAAGATAAAAAACATCCAGTGTTGAAAGGAAACAGAAGTAATTAGTCTAATAGACATGGTTACTCATATTAATTATATTGCTCTAACAGGCATTCATCTTTTTAGTTTGAGAAAGGCTTCTGCAACTTCAGTGGAATCGTTCATTCTTTCCTTCCTAGATCTCTGGGTAATATCCTAGGCATCCGTGGGCTTGGTTTTGTACCCAGTAGAACTCGCCCTTTTCATTCAGACATTTTGAAGAGAACAGAATTATTTTTCCCTTAATAACACAGAAGGGTGATATCACTTCCTTGCATAGTCTCTCTAGTTCAGCTATAGGAAAGGGAGGTTCCTCGTCAGTGGTGAAGAATCAGGGAATATACTCAAATTTGCACAGCCTCCACAGCCTTACATCTACCCTGCTGAAGTCACTTTTCTGATGAAACATCAGCCACCTGTTTGATTTGGCAGCCCAAGCCTTTGTCACATACACAGTCCCACCACTTCTCTCAAAACCCAGTCTGCTGAGCTTCAGACATACACAGATGTTAAATAAGTTACTTGTTCTCAAATCCACAAGAGTTAACATCATTAAAATGAAGGTTCTCCCTTTTTTCGTTCTGTAATTACAGTTCTGCACTTGGTTCTGCAGCATGGTACAAACTCAGACTATACACATCTTGAGAGTTGCTACTGAAACTGGACTCTTATCTCAGATCTATAAATGGAGATCTATAAATGGAGGTAAACGGAGAGTAATTCAGATACAAAGAGGACTAGATCCTCTTCATCAGGAATCTCTTCCTCCCCATTGATGACAGTGACTAAGTACCTAACTAAGGTACTTCAGATATGGGGACCTGATGCAAGCCACCTATTTCTGTACTTAAAAATTCTATTTCTTCACATTAAATAAAAAATAAGCTAGACTAAAATTTCTGTATTTTATATTTTTCAATTCATAGTGATAATGTCAGAGATATATTTGGGGGGGCTAAATCTGGGTACAGGAACAAGCAGGAAAATAGAAAAATCTGCTTGTAAAGGAGAAAATACAACTAGAGGAGGTCCCATTACCTTCTGCTTCTTCAAATCTGCAAAGAAAAGTTTCTTCTTTTATACATTTTCACCATTTTTATCAACATCTCAACTTCTAGGCAGCAAAAATTGAAAGCATCTAAACCTGAGTTCTGCTTCTATTTGCCTTTATGCAGCTTCTACTGTGTTCAATTTGAAACAAGCAAATTTGACTTACCTTTTTATGAGGGTGAAACTGAGCCTTTGCTTTCAACTACCTCTTTGCCTGGAGTCCAACTTCATGATACACTGAATATACAGCAAAACGTAATTTCCCCTGAACAGCAGCCTATGGTGAAAGGAGAACAGGATTGGATTAGGAAGGACAAAGAGATGAGGTGTCAGTTTCCATTTTGAAGTGAGCTATCAAGAGACATCACTTGTGGAGAGAAATTGAATGAGCATGTCTCAGTTCTAACAGGTTCACTCCCTGTGATGCCACTAAACAAAATTTATATCATATATTGAGTGATCTTGGGAGAGCCTTTACAATTGGGAACAGTTTAAAGGAGAAGGACTTAATGTCTCCTTCGGAGACTGTAATTTATGTTAGTGGAGGACTATAAAGAAATATATTATTTTCCCATTACTGTCATAACTGAATTGTTATGTCAGTCAGACATCTGAAAATTAAACCTTGTGTGCAAGCAGGATTATACTGTGCCATGTTTAATCTGAACATTCCCCTCCCTCTCTTTGCTTTAGTTTTACCATTAAAATAAAACAAATTATGTTACAGTTTCCTTATGCCACTTTGCCACACAGTTTTTATAGTGACAGATGTGCCACTTGGCAATCTGCAAGTATTGCACAACACTTTCCTCAAGGAGACCCGTTTCAAAGAGTTTCTGGCATAGATTGGAATTAAAAAATTGGCTGTATGAAGGAGTCAGACTCAAAGAAGGAAAAAAAAAAAAAAAAAAAAAAAAAACGAACACTAAATGAATATAGCAACAAAAGAAGGCAAGATACTAACATTTTCTTCAAGCTTTCACAGCTGCATGATGAAAAATTGAGTGGAAGACAGTTTTGTCTGTCCTATGAAATCAGGAAAGATCTTGGAATGTCCATTTGTTTTCTCAGCTATCAAGAAATAAAAGGCCAGTGAGCAGGAGAGGAACATTCCTACCACTGACATTCTCTTGACCTAGAGAGCCAGACTCCTGTATGTGTTACAGACTACACATCCACAGTCGTAAAGATGTGACCCTTGTCTCTAGGTATGTGTTAGGTGGTAGGTTTTCTTCCCTCTTTTCCCTTCCTGAGAGAGCAGTACGTCAGCCATCTCTCATTTATGAGAAAGTACAACAATCCATTTCAGTCATGGTTGCAATAGTCATTTATTAAATATGCAAAATTTTTTCAGTGGAAAAACAGTTACAAATATCTTCTCTGTAGCATTACAAGGTAGGACACTTCAGAAGATTTTTTGTGCTTGTCCACATGACTCATTTTGATTTGTGTGTCTCATCTTACACTTTTGAACAGTTGCATGCATTTCAAATGATTAATCACTGTACCATGGCACCTTGCAATTTCCCCACTATGCACAGGCAAAGTGATCCAGGTGCTGGTGTTACTCACAGACATCAAGTGTCTTTCTTGATCAAACAAGTAGTAAACAGCACAATGTAAGCTATCACTCCATCTGTAACATATGAACTACCTAAGGAATAACAGAAGTGCTGCAGATTAATATACTGCATGGTGAAATTTGGAAGCCAAAAATGACATTAAGTTTTCCCAGGAAATAAAAATGATAAAATAATACTGAGACCTACAAAAAAAAAAAAATAATAATAATAATAATAATAATAGCATTAATGAGAGACAAGAAAGCAATACACTGAGCAACTTGATCTCACAGCTGATCTTGCTTTGAGATAGCTGGGCAAGAGACCCTCTGATGTCCCTTTCAACACAAGTTAATATGCTTCTGTGGAGAAAGGTGAAATCATGTAAAATGGCAGCCAGTGTTTCACTTATAGAAACCAGAATACAGGACATAAGAGAAATGGAATATCCAAGATTAAATAACTGGAACAAGTGATTCCGGCAGAATCACATTCAGGCTTCAAAGAATTAAAAAATCACATCACTTGTGCCAGTTAAAAATCACTAGAGGGGAAACCTCTGAAGCCACAGTTGATCTGCACTGAAATCTTGGCACAAGTGGTATCAGAAAGAGTTGCAAGAATAACAGTAGTGAAGCTGATGGGCAAATCTAAGAAGACAGTGCACTGGAAATAATCCAGTGTAATATAGCCTTTAGCAAGAGGAAGGGAGACATTTCAAAGAAACAGAGATATATTTGCAAACTAATGTTCAGTTTTGTAGAATTCTTTTGGCAAGGATGTTCATTTTCATTCAAATAGTTCAGACAATTTCTTATTTAAAAGCAAATCCATACAAGACTTCCTACAGAAATGATTAGGTATCTTTTTGACGATTTTTCAGATATTTTGCATTTCTTTCCATCATATTCTGGAAACCCTCAATTATTTTTCTTTCTTTCAAATATCACAATATCCACTTGTGATATTACAATATTCACTTACACATGCTGGCAACAACTGCAGATTCCTATAGAAGAAGCACAAACATTCACCGTGCAACCATATGCACTTTGCTAGATGAATCTTTCTTTGTCCTAACCAGAAAGCTCATTTTCTTCCTCTCAGACTTCCACGCAAAACAAGACAAAATGAGATGACAGTACGTCTGTCTACTTTTCCACATCCAAATTCAGACAGGCCTCCCAATTAATCTAGTGCTCATCAGAAAAGAGAATGTATTGTAATTTGGTCTAAGAAGGCCATGATATTTAGCACCTTTCTCACGTTAATTCTTGTTATAAAGGTAAAATATTAGGTCAGATCTGGCAGAGTATACCAACAGGAATAGGGATAAATTCTCAATACAAAATTTGGTCTATATATAAAATATATAAAAAGGAAGAGAGATAATATGAATAAATTCATTTTTAACATCATCTAGGTTTCATGCTAGGGTAATTAGGAACTAGCTGTCAGAAGCAACCTCAAGGTTGTTAATATTCCATTCTAAGAGCATTTGTATGGCTAGAGAAGTGCAAGAAAGAGAGGAAAATATTAAAGGGAAGCCAGGGAGATGTCATGAGATTTTCTGAATCCTGTGAGGAAAAAAAATGTGTGATAACTAACCTAAATGTAGGCAATTTAGGTCATGTCAACCTATCGTCCTCTACTATAGAAAAGAAGGTTTCAGAGATAGCATCCAAGCCATAAATGTTAACTAAAGCTTTTACAACTTTCTGAAAAAAAACAAAAAACAAAAAAAAACCCTAGTTTTCTAAAAAAAAAAAAAACAAACCAAAAATGGCTTTGCTAGTGAAACTTCTAGGATGTGGAAACAAAACCTTAAAAGAGGCCAAATGCAAGTCACACATGGTTTACAATCAAAAAGGAGAGCTGTAGGAAGTGGGACTCAGAAAGGTTCTGCACTATTACTTTGCTAGGAAACCTGGATGGTGGAATGCTGCCTGCTTGTTGATGATGTACATTAAATTTGAATAAAGTAGGAAATTGAGAGGGATCACAAGTATATTGGAATTTACGGAGTGCAAGATTGTGCAGGTAGCTAGGGGCACTAGGTAGGTATAATCACCTGTACATATAGAACAGGGTGCAATTTGTTGTGACAGTGGGTCTTTAGAGAGGGATCTGGAGACTGAAAGTTAAACACAAGTCAACACTGTAAGCCAAGCCAGGCAAATGGACTGGGGAAGGCTACATTTAAGACAGATAAAAATAAGTACTTCTTTACAAAACAGGCTGGGACCTTCTGGGGTTTTCTGCAACAAGATCAAAGAGCAGAGAGAAGCTGCATATTCTAAAAAGGATGAGAAAAATACATAGTCCACAGATACAAAATCAGATAGCAAAATGACGGCACTTTAAGGGACTGCAGAATTCAGCTTGTAAATTCTAACTGGTCTGGATGCCAGAGAAGGGCACAGATAGTGTCTATGTTGATGCACTTCTTCCCTAAAGAAGTTTTTCTCCTGCAGTAGGGCATTTATGATCTCAGGGTATGTGGAATAAGAAGAACTTGAATTAATGCAGTCCCTCATTCCAATAATGTACTTTTGAAGTCAAAGTTGTAAAACTGTAAAACACTCTGTTCTGTAGGTAGGGAAATCATGCTTGTAAAACTATACAGATGCAGCTGCCCTACAGCTTCTGTTCCAGGCCAGTTATATGGACTGCTAAATCTCTCTAGGTTCATTCCAGATCTATGGTTCCGAATTATCAGTAGCTTGGATCGTGTTGGACCCAGCAGATCCCCAAGGTGATGATTTATACTGCGTAAGAGTCAATTCAGCAATCAGATTCAGTTCATAATTTTCTTTTACTCCATAAGGCATCACCTCGGATCTTTGATCTTACATTACGATGTTGTTCAGAACTTCTGCTAATGTAAAATTTGCATTGTTTTAAATCATATCTTTGCAGGCATTATAAAAAAAAGAGTATAGTTCTATTCTAAAATACATTTAAGAAGGACTTGAAAGGGTAATGTAACTACAGAGATATATCATGAATTTGAACACTGTTTTAACATCATGTCATGAGTTCAAAGAAGGTCAGTAGAAGCTATGTGAAGATTACTTTGATATCTTGACAAAAAACTAGAGACATCAGACAAGTAAGATGCTAGTGCAGATGCTACTCTGTTGTGTTTCCAACCAAAGCATAATAGTTCATAACTGCCTGTAACATTTTTAAGGCATAACAAGTTTTTAGTGCTATAGCTTTTTCTTACATAGCAAAATGGGTGGGGATTGGTACATTCAGTATTCTTTGTTCTAAGAAAATGTATTAAATTATTTTCTTGTGAAATGAAGGGTGGATGTGTCTGTTTCTGCATGCAAGAACATGGATGGTAAAATTAAAGGACAGATCCTTCTCTTTCTGACATGCATATGCAAGAACATTAATGAGAATCAGAAAGCTTAGTAATGAATTATCTCAAGTACTGTGACTCTAACTAGTCTAGCAAATAAAGGGATTGCTATATCTACATCTTCCCTTTTCAGTCTAGAAATTCTAATATATCTAGAGAAGCAAGATTCATGTTTCAATGAATAGCAATTTTTCTATTTTTGCTAGTAATGAATATGTAAGTCTGAGTTATCAGGGTCCTTAATGTACTTTATTGAGTGTCTATTATGACAAAGTAAAAAAATCAACATTATTAACTATTCTACTACAGATCATGAGTTTTCATTGACTACATTTTCTGGAATACATTTTCACCACAGACTATTAGGTAATAGTGTTTGTTTTTTTTTTTATTTTTTGTTTTTTTGGTTTTTTATAATATTCTGAATCCTGTAAATATCTCTCCATTCTAAAACTAGACCGGAAAGAGATGACTTACTGCTTTCATTTTTAGATATCTTAAAAGATTGTATATGTGTCACCAGTTTAGCCCAAGTTATTCAGTTAACGTAAAAATGTTAGTTTATTACTGACCCATCTCTCCAAAAATTGTTACTGTTTAACACAAGTAGGGCCATATTTGAAATTACTGACTCCTCTCCACATCTGTATTGCAAAATCTCCGCACAAACTAATTTTCAAAAATGGTCTTCTTTTAACAGTTAAGAAAGGAATTATTTTAAAAAGTTTTTAATTACCACAAGAATATTGAAAGTTGCATAGGTTTTGTGAAATCAAAACTAGAAGAAATATGTCACTTATATTAAGTACTTGGGCTAGTAGTATCTGGAAAATGCAGTTTTACTGCAGATAAATGTGTATCTATTTCGGAACAGATACGGTATTTTAATAAATCTACCTGCACAGATTCAAGAGATAGAATATAAATTACACTAAATGAAAGAATGATACAGCATAATCACTTTAAAAAGATCCAGCAGCATCTCAGTCAAGTATGTAATCTGCAAGTTTCATTTTGCCAACCTGCAATTCCCCATGCACTTTACAATACCCGTGACACTTATCTTCACTTCTTCTCCTAAAGAGTTGCAATCAATATTTGAGCTACAGAAACTCACGTATTTCTAAGAGCTGAGCATCTCATGGGTGAACAAATGTTCTGCCAGAAAATGTTTAATTATTAATCGACAACACACTTTTCTGCAACTCAGAAAATAATTAAAAATGTTGATAATAACAGGGAAAATTACATGATGTAGGAGATACATCATCCTTGTTAATGAACTCTGTGCAAAACCTCACTAACCAATAGAATTCACAGTCAGCAAACCTTCCTCAAGCAGAGCACATGGCAGAGCACAGTAGAGCCACTAACACTTCAGAATTTACCAGCTACCTATGTAATGGCTGGAACTGTTCATCACAGAGGGGGGATTCATCTCAGCCATGTGGCAAAACGCTTGGGGAAGAAAGGAAGAACATGTGAACTGACAACATTCAGTTAGTGCCCCTAGTGCAAAAAAAAAAAAAAAAAAAAAAAAAAAAAAGTGGAAAATGACTATGAATACTCTAGAATGCATATTCAAGCAAATTAACTTAAAGTGTGGTAGTCATAAAAGCAGTGACTTCTGAAGCTAAAAAGCTAAGCAGCATCTTCTGACACTGCCCTTAGCTTAAATATCAATAAAAGAGATGAGAGTTAATGCATTTTACATCACAAGTGTGATGATAATTCATAAGAAAACAGAGCCTTTCCCTAGCTGTTCTGTCCAAATTGTTAGAAGGATTGGTAAAACTGTCAAATTATCAGTTTTGACAAATATCACATGTGGCAGTTGCAGCTGCACTCAAATCTTTGCATGAGTCTTTTCTTTCATTTAATGGGAAAAGAAAGATGCAAACAATTATGGAGTGGCATTTCTATCATCCATCATTGGTGCTTCTTTCATCAATCTGACAAGACCTCCTATGCCCAGAAATGAGATGAAGAATTGTTTAGTAAGATAAAAGGGTTTCTCTGGAAAAAAGAATATAGTTTTAATGAACATTCATTAGGCATTTGAGAATATATGGCATTACTAGAGCAGTAAAATGTCAAAGGTTTAATGTAAAATATATTGTGAAACAATGCTTCTTCTCCCTTCCCTCCTACAAATGCAGAATAAAAAGAAATGCTTTTTAGGTGAGCAAAATAGCCTCCTAAATCTAGGATCTCTTGCACAATATTATTAGGTACTGCTATCAGGATAAAAACAAGTGCTTAGAGGCAGAATTGCAAATCGACGTTTCGTGTAAACGATGTGATTGCCATAGACACAAAATAATTACAAAAGAAGAAAATCCGTGGAGAGCTGACCATTATGTTACTTTGGAAAGTTGACTATGTTTATCCCTTCAGCCCTTTTGTGTTCCAAGTAACTGTCAGTGGTAACAATGACAGATACCTTGGTGACCTAAAGGAAATGATAAGGTATATTGCAAGACCTGGTGGAATCATCTTTTTCTTTTCACATAAATTTTCTGCCTAATATGTTTAGTGTTTACTCTAAGAGGCAAAATTATGTATTAAACTAGTTCAACTTTGGCTTTCTTGTGTCATCTGCCCTTTTGAAAACAGTATATCCCAAGTGCGTTAGAATCTTCAGCATGGCAAAACAAAATAAGACATTTTATTTATGCAAATAATTGATTACCTTTTTCTTCTTCTTCTTTATTTCCAAACAGAAATATTTATTTCCCATCTTTCATTTCACATCAGACTCAAACTGAAGTTTTCACTGGTGACATTACCAGTTCATTATAAGGAACAAGACAAGTAGTTTCTCTGGGGAAATATCTGCGGCAAGGAGAGAGAATAAGGAATATTTTTCTAATTCAATATCATCTTCATTATATCTTTTATTCTCACTGGTCTCACAGAATCACATACATTTAATCAGTCTCTTCACATTGTTGCTACTAATGAAACTTAATCATATCACATCCATACGCTCTTCAAATAAAGAACCATAAGCACACCTTTCTTCAGCAGATTCAAATGTAGAAGTTTGACTCTGATTCTGCACAAAACTTCAAGTGACCACAGAGAACTTAAATGAAATGGATGAAAATCTGGTTGCCAAGGCGGTTTATCCATCTATGATCTTCATAGAAGCAACTCCATGTGTTGACTCCATTTCTCTTCTGAAAAGCACAAGTATAGCTTATTCACTGAAAACTACAGATGTGCAGTGCAGTGTAAGTGCTAAAGCAAATTCTTTCAAGCCTTATTCGCTTTTAATACTTTCTTTGTCAAAAGTTTTACTAATAGTGCATCTATGTGACTGTCTTACCATACATGGGCATTCAATGCCCAGTTTGTTCAGAAGTGGGCAACAATATCCAAAGAATATTTACTTTTCTTTAAATGTTAGATATACTTTTTATAGAACTACATACTAGAAAAAAGTGACATGTTCATAAATATTCTGAGTTAAATTATGGAAGGCAAAGGTTGCATGAATATTATTTGCCATATACATTTGACAGAAGAAGTAGAAGGGAGGCATATCTGTTAGAGTACAGGTAGCTTTTTAAAAATTTATCTTTTTAAAAATGTATCAAAGCTTTTGAGTTGTAAAATAGTTCTATAACAGACATAGATAACACAGCATCTTAAGTGCATGTTGATTCTTGGATGCTCATGAAATACTGTACTTTTGCACTTGTATAGGACAAAAGAGTAGGACACAGAGGTAATAAATGGTGATCAGTCTTACTCAGACACTTGCACTCATACAGACATGTTACTGTAGCACTCTACACATGACAATATACTTTAGGTTTTAATATATCTGTGATCTTTGAAGTATTTTAACCTATTAATTGAGTCCAGAATAATAAGGATTGCCTGTTTATGGGATCTGAGCTGTATTGCAATCTGTGGACTTCCACCCATTTGTCACTGATGGAGATTTTGAGTTATCTTTTTGACAGAGGTAAAACAGAGTCTAAGAAAACCTGCCTAACAATACTCTGAGGATTAAATAGCTTGTGCATTACAGTTTCTATATTTTCTTTTTTTATCTCCTCTGCCACCTAGACTCTCCAAGATGTTTCAGAAGAAGTAGGACTACCTATCAACTGATGGGTTCTGATCTATCAGCTGGAAACAGAAGGAGAAACATCTGTTCAACGTCCATAACAGATAAACCTCAAGCAGGACTTGGTTATTCACCACACATCCAGGTCTTGGTTAACATGATATCCTGATGGAATCAAAAGTCAATAGTTCTAACTCAGCACAAGTTCATCTTCATTTGAATACAGCTTATATCAAGTATCCTTTTTTTTTTTCCCCCCCATTTTGTTCAGTTTAACCACTGAATATTTCACGTACCCTTTCTAATGTGGACTGCCCATAAAGGGATTATAAATCAGCCCCCTATTTCACAGAATTTCTAAAACACCTTCATATAAATACCTGACAGTACTGTGCTTTGGCTCATTAGCAGTTCTGAACATAGACAAGTTGCAACAACAAATTAAGAGGTTTGAATACTATAGGAGGGTAAGGATGAGATACCTGTACATCACACTCTCTGGGACCTGAGAACTGTTACGTGTGGTAATTTTAATTCTGACAGATTGGGTACGCTAAGAAGTTTAAGATAATATTTTTGCTTTGTATATACCAAAGCTAAGAGTACATGCAACTCAGGTGACATATAATTCAATTAGGTGTTCAAGATTAGAGCAACAGACAGTCAAGAAAATACATTCTGTTAAGCTTAATGTTACACTTACTTAATATATATTAATAAAGGATAAAAAAAACCTTTCATCATTAATGTTTGTATAGATAATCTTTTTAAGATGACAGATTAGAATAAAATATGTTTTGAAGAACACTTTTTTTTGTATGGACAGCCAATACTTATACAAAAGAAATAGCATTCTGGCACTAGACATGTAGATGAGTTTAATTCAAGAAGAGTGCTTTAATTCAAGTAATTTTGCCATGGCATCTGATTATTTTTATTTTGGCTTATCTCCCAGTGCCAAATGACTACTGTTGAAAGACAAGATTTATTTCATCAAAAAGCATGTAATGCTATAAGGATTTCAGATCTTATGGCCTGGAGTAACCAAAAAATCATTTTGTATACTTCGGAATAACAGAAAATACACAATTATTAAATTTATCATTTCATCAAGTAGTGGAGCCTCTTAATTTACCTAGAGAAATTTTGGGGAAATTACAGCGGAGAAAGACTGGCAAGTGGATTTGATAATAAGAAGTCTATTATGGCTGCGGTATTCATCCTGTGATACATATTCCTACTAGATATCAAATGTAAGAGAAAAATCAAAGAGTGCTAAGTTCCTTTTGTGTTTGTTTTTTTTATTGTCTATTTTTTTAAGAAGAGACAACATACAATCAAAAGTACAGTATTTTTTAACTGTGATTTCTAAGATTTGTAGTAAAAGTCTTACATGCTTTAGCAGGGGGGTTGAATTAGAAGTCACCAGAGGTCCCTTCCAACATCTGATTCTGTGATTCTGTTGATTAATCATATAAAAAGAAATGCAGTGTACTTAAATTACACGTTTGAGAATTCCTATCTCTAAGCTTTCTTCATGAAAAAAAATGTGAGATGGAACTTGATTCTGTCAAAAAAATCTTGATATCAAAGGATAAATTAGAATTGGAGAGAAACAAATTGCATCACTTAAAGTAATCTATCAGATTCTCAGACAAATTATTTATTTGGTTTTATAGTACTTAAAATTAGGGCTGTATTGTATCATTTACAAATATTCATAATTTGCTATTTGGGAAAAAAAAAAAGTTGTAGCATAATGGGACAAAAGTAAGAAGTTGCAGTCTCAAGAAATACTTAAACAGGATAGAAATTCTATACGTTTGATTCTGTATTATCACTTTAGGCCTTATCTTTGTTCAGAATTTACATGTACCTTATGATGCAACTTACATTTGTAGTGTCTCATTTGTTTCCTGCAGAAGTGTCACCATGAGACATAAGGAGCACTTATACATGTGTTGCTTTTCATTTATACACTTACATTACTTTATATTCTCTAACAAAAAAAAAAAAAAGAGTGGAGAGCATTCATCATTTATCCTAGCAACAGTCCTTCTGGATGCCTGAATAGGCAAGAACAATAAAACACATTGAGCATTGAGGCAAAGATCCTTCAGACAAGAGCAGATAGCAGTTAAAAAGAAATTGGAATGTATTAGTATAGAGAGATATTAAGAAATCTAACCTAATATAAATTTTTTAGAAAGATTTTTTAATTGTAATTCTATAATAAAACCAAAGATTTAGTTTAATTGCAATTTTCTTTTGAAAAGAAAAAAGTCTTGTTATTTATTTTCTTGTTTATTATCTCTCAGTGATTGATTTCCACACTGAGAAGCACTCATTTGACATACAAAAGCTTTATTTCATAAATTCACTTTCCACATTCTGTCATATCTTCTGTTCAAAATGTTGTCATTATTTGTACGCATACAGAATAAAGGAAAAATGACAACACTTGAAAAATCTCATAAAACTCAGTCAAAAAAACTACTGTGAATTTATCATTCCTGTTTTTATACTTCCAACCTCAGCAGCCACTCGACTCCATCTGTAGATGAGAGAATATCCTTCAGTGGGCAAATCAGTCAATGTTAAATTCCTAATCTAAGTCATAAACCTAGAAGAGACTTCCCCCCCCGCCATCCTGTACGACAGCCCCCCCATCAGCTATAGCCTCGGGACGAGTTTCCTGACACCAACTTAGACAATGAAAATAATCCAAATAAGCAACCTTGTTGACGTGAAATAAATGTTTAAACCTGGTTCACTCTAAGCTTGTTTTTTAAAAGTCAAAAGACTCACCATTAATTTCTGACAGATAAAAAGCCAATATATTTTTGTGAGTTAATTGATCAAGAAAGTATTGTTATCATGGAGAGCAGTAAGTAAGCACAATATTTATACCACATCTCCTTCACATTTTAGCTCACCATCAGACTGGGAAACTGGTATCTAAAAAGGCCTTCCACTAAGTTGCATGAAAGAGACTTCTCCCATTAAAAATAAAGGTTATTCAGAGTGAAAATGTTGTTGTATGTTATGTGTTACATAAAAAGCAAATTAAAAAAAAAAACCAATATATTCTACTGCAGAACTGCTTGTAATTGAACTACTTCTTTTAGTAGTCAGAAAGTATAGTTCTTCGAAAGGTAGGATTATTATCTAACTCTTTTTCAATCTTTCTTACTAGCAAGACTCATACATCATGAAAATAGCATTGAAGGCTACAGTGAGTTTTCTCATCTAATTCTCAGATTTTTCTGGAGAGAATTGAAGTCTCAGGTACTGTAAGTAACTCCTATGTAAAATTTGTCTCAACCATTCTCTGGTCGAGTTACATAAAGGATAGATTAATCATCTAATTCTGAAATAAAAATATCTGAACAACAACAACAATAAAATCAAGTTTCTATTCTATTTCTATTCTATTCCCTGCTGCATTTTAAAACATTTACCGTGCTTTTTGTTTACATATTTTCAGAGAATATTTTATACAAACATATTTCATATCATAGTCCATTTCCCATAAAAGATTACAATGAAACTTAAAGCTCTTCTGGAGTAAAAGGAAGCCAAAGAGGAAGGGTGAATTTCATTTAAACCATAAGTGAATTAGGTTGCTGGTCTATAAAGACAAGAAGGTTAAAAGTGAACTGAAAAGTAAGAAAAGCCAAGTTTTACATAAGACTGTACAGCTTATGAAGAAAGCCATGGAAACTCTCTGACTCATGAAGAATAGAAAATAGTTCCACAGGAAATGCCAGGAGAAGCAAAACACAGTTTAACACTGACAATAAAACTCCAAGAAACCAGATAGCAGAAGAGGAATATTTGATCTATACACCCACTCATAAGACTAAAATTGAGAGGTTCACAGAAGGGCTACGAAGCGCATAAAGGCTACAAGGTGCATGAGGAAGAATTGAACTGGGACTCAACCAGGCAAGAAACAAGAGAGGACAATACGAAAGAGATCCTTTTCAATTACAGGTTGCAAGGAGGATGGCACTAGAGTCCAGCTCTCACTGGACAAGAATCAAGAAGAAGGTAGAAGCCA